CATCCTCTCCCTTTGTTTTAAACATGCTACCCTCCAATTTCATTGGGCACCCTCTCCTGCTTACACGATGTAAAGAGGAATAATGGAAAGGCTAAATGCCCCCTCTAGAGCATCAAAGAGTAAATGATGGGACAAAGGGCAATCAGATGACAGGGAACACCTTCTCCCAGACAAATGGACTGATCTCTCTCACTCCCACACAGGCGCGACAGGGAATCCCTTTGGATTCCGGTATTATACTGCTTCACATAACGTTCTGTCAGTTTGGACTGGAAACTGGTCACAAGACGCAGTGACAGTGAAAGAGATGGCTGCTCCCAACTTCTCCCTCAAGTTCATTTGAACGGCCCTTCCCAAACTGACACCTCACCATGGCAACCCCAGCTATGGGCAATGCAGGCCCCAGTCTGTAAATGAAGGAGAGGACACGGCAATCCAACGCGGAGACACGCGTGTGCCTTGCAGCATTTTACAGAGTTAACTGTGCTAGCTGTAAGCAGGTCTTACGATCCCTTTACCGCATGTGCATCAGTACAGAGCACTGGGTGTGCTGGGCGTGGATCAGTGCATCCTACCACGCCCTACTCTAGAGATCCCTCCGGGCGCTGTCCATTAGCCCCTTCTCGCTAAACCTGCCTGTTGTTCAAAACCAGTGGTCATTAAACCCTTCTTGCACTGATGACTCTCAGAGTTATCTCGCTTCTTTGGACAAGTCTCCTTAGACATCCCTTCATGGATTGCCAGCTGGCAACTCAACTCTACTTGCCCCAAGCAACATGACCTTCCTCTCCCAACTCCCATCAGTCACCACCACCTCTCTCCTCCTCACTCGGCACCCAAAACTCGACTTCCCTCTAGGCCCACACATTCGAGCAGTGTAAATCCTACCACCACTTTCTGTTCAACAGCTTTAAGGGTCAGTTTTATCTATAAAACGCACCCAAGGCCCTCAATAGCTCACGTCTTTACTATTAAATCCATCTCCTTTCTGTCTTTAACACAGGCCACCTCATCGATGCAAAATGCTGCTGGAGAAGTCACTGTACTGGCTTGTCATTTCAGCCATGCCCCCATACATTCCTTTGTATTTTGGCACAGGTCCCTTCCCTACCGTATCAAACAAAATACTTGGCCGGATGCTGACGGTTCTTCATGAGCTACCCACTTCTCACCTCCCATGCTCCTGAGCCTCCAACCCCCATCCCTGGGCTGCAGCTGTCAGCCACAATTACCAATTGGACGCTTTTTCCAACAAGCATCTTGGTGCTGTCTCCCAAGAGGCCTGCCACTGATTCATGGAGACGTACCCTGGAGAAACCCACCGCAGCAGCACCTCATCCCCTGTCCTTGGAATCCAAGTACAGCACGAGACCGGCAAACCCTAGATGAGGCAGCTGGTGTCCAGTGGCTGCTGCATACTCTATCACCCATGTCTCACTATCACCTTGTGATCCCACAATCTGCCCACCCACAGGTGGTCTCGTCTTCAAGCTCTTTGGGCCAGGGAGAGTCTCTTTGGTACATGCGTACACAAGGTGCCAAGCACAACAAGGCACTAGCCCTGGACCAGGGCCACTAGACAGGACCACAATGCAAACAGCCCCCAAAACTGACTGACAAATAGCAGGAGCTTGCTGTGGGATATGGCGGCCAATCCCCATTTTTGATGGTGTAAAGAGGCATCACCCCACAGATCACAAGCTCATAGGACTAGAATGGACCTCAGGAGATCATCAAGTCCAGTCCCCTGCCCTCATGGCAGGACCAAGCACCATCTAAGACCATCCCTGACAGGTGTCTGTCTAACCTGGTCTTTAACATCTCCAGTGACAGAGATTCCACAACTTCCCTGGGCAACTTACTCCAGTGCTTAATCACCCTGACAGGCAGGCAGTTTTTTCTAATGTCCAACCTAAACCTCCCTTGCTGCAGTTTAAGCCCCTTGATTCTTGTCCTGTCCTCAGAGACCAAGGAGAACAATTTTTCTCCCTCCTCCTTGTTACATCCTTTTAGATACTTGAAAGTGGTTATGTCTGAGTCTTCTCTTTTCTAGACTAAACCCCAATTCTTTCAATCTTCCTTCATAAATCATGTTTTCCAAACCTTCAGTATTTTTGTTGCTCTTCTCTGGATCTTCTCCAGTTTCTCCACATCTTTCCTGAAGTGTGGTGCCCAAAACTGCACATAAGACTCCAATTGAGGCCTAATCGGCGCAGAGCAGAGCGGAAGAATGACTTCTCGTGTCTTGCTCACAACACTCCTGTTAATCATGCATCCCATGCTTTTATTTATTTATTTATTTATTTGCAACCATCACACTGTTGACTCATATTTACCTGTGGCCCACTATAACCCCTAGATCCCTTTCTGCCGTAGTCCTCCCTAGACAGTCGCTTCCCATTCTGTATGTGTGAAACGGATTGTTCCTCCTTAAGTGGAGCACTTTGCATTTGTCCTTATTAAACTTCATCCTGTTTACCTCAGACCATTTCTCCAGTTTGTCCTGATCATTTTGAATTATGACCCTATCCTCCAGATTAGTCGCAACCCCTCCCAGTGTCAACTGGAAACTTAATAAGCGTCCTCTCTGTGCCATTGAGGAAGCTACTGAACAGAACCAGGCCCGGCGCTGACCCCTGCAGACCCCGCTTACAACGGAGGAGCAGTAATTCCTTTCTGGAGAGCGCTGGTGTAACTGCAGCAGTGCTATAAAAGTCGTTGGTGAGCCCAGAAGCCAGAGCTCAACCCGCTGAGAGCCCCCTAGTGCATGCGTAAGGCAATGAGAGGGTTGCTCACCCAGCGCTACTCAAGTGGCCAGGCCTGCTGTGGATGTCCCACGTACTGAGTTTCCACGCCTTGTCCTGGGAGATCACTTCAAACTCTCTCGCAGTGTGTCAGGAATTCTACGTTTTCCGTTTCTTAATCTTATCCTTTCGTCTGAATTATGCTTTTTTGAGTCAACCTAAATAATACATTTAGACCTACGTCATTGCTAAAATAACCTTTCCTCAAATCATTTCCTATAGCTCCCTGGTCATTTTGGTTGCTATTCTCTGAACTCCTGCCAGTTAATCTGTAACTTTCTTCTCTAAGGTGCCAAACACCAAACAATACTCCACGTTTGGTCGGGGAAGATTTATCCCTTACCTGATCCATAGAGATGATGTGCGAGCACATACAAGCTAATATTGCACATGCCTTGCTTACAGCCCTGTTACTTCACAAACTCCAGTAAACTGTCCACTACCAATGCTAGGTTTCTTGCAAGACGACTAATCTGTCATTTTTTATACTTCAGAACCAGAAAGTGCTTTCTAACAGCTGACTGTGTCTTTTACAGACTCTGATTGTGCGTCTATGAAAGACACCTGGGCTGCTTCATTCTTCCAAAGCGGAATGCCCAGAAACTTAGAGGAGTATTGTTAAAACCAATCTCCCCTTCACCAACCGCGCCTCTTGAGCATACATTATATTTAATGGGAACACCATCATACACATAATGAACTTTCTGTTCAATACATTTTTAAATGTTACTTATGGGGGTTGGTGACTAAGAACAAAATATTAATTACATGAGCAATTTGACAAAATTTCACCCTAAGTTGAACATATGCCAAGAAGCATCTGACCAGCTACAGAGTGCCACAAAACGTGTTTGCTGAATAAATTACTCCACTATAACAAAGTTACGTGAGTAATGTATCACTTCTTTCTTCCTGCTTCACTCTTCACCCACACTTGTTTCTTTCTTACAATAGGTCATGGTGTATATTTCCTGATTTACCATCTATAGTATTTCTTTCCTTCCTTTCCCTTAAGTGTCACTGTATTTAGGTCTCCCTATATAGTTCTCTTCTTTCAATAAATAGTCACTTCCGCTCTTCTCATTGCCTATATACGTACACACACGCATGTACTCTACTT